TTTTGACATCCTATATAGGCCAAGAAAACAAAATTTGGTTGTAGATGCTTTGTCTAAAGCCTAAACCAAAATCGTTGTCCCTGTTAACCATTTCCTCCCCTATTCCAACATTTATGCAGTAATGGCAACAATGTTTTCAAATCATTGATCAAGATATGGTTTGTAAATTGACAAAGGATAATGCAACTAAAGAATTGTTTACCTTTCAAAACGGGTTTTTCAAAGATCATCTCTTTGTGTTGGATTTTGAAATTTTTTTACAATAGTTGTTGCTAGCTAAATTCCACTACACACTTATGGTCGGTCACTTGGGCTTGAAGCCTACCTTGTGTAGGATAATTGCTACCTTCTATTGGCCTAGATTGTATGCAGACACTAAGAAATTCATTCATTAATGCTCCCAATGCCAACACAACAAGTACCTGCCTCACAAGAAATTTGGCTTATTACAACCACTAAAACAACCAAATAAAGTTTGGGAAGAGAGTATTATGGATTTCATTACATATTTACCTAGTTCCTTTGGCTACTCTACTATTGGGTAATGCATGACCATTTAACCAAGTACAGTCACTTCCTAGACCTCCCATCTAAGTTTACTACTCAACAGTTGGATCGACATCATGGCTGAGATTTTCAAACTTCACAGTTTGCCAAAGTCAATTGTATTTGATCGCGATCCATTATTTGTTGAAACTCCACCCCTATCATTAGAGTTTAGTCCAACACCATGTTTCTAAAAAACTTTCTAAGCATTATTTTGGGCCATTTTAGGTTATTTTCCGCATTGAAAGGCGTATGAGCTTTCTTTACTAGAATCCTCTCACTTCCATCTGGTGTTCCATGTATCGTTGCTCCATCCTTATGATAGGACCAATCCTATTAGCCATTACCATTCCCTTTCGGTCGATCTTAGACCACAGGACCTCCACCACTCAAACACTTGTTCACAATAAAATACTAACCCTCCTCTCAAACCCACACTTAATAAACCCACAAATGACATTTCCCTTTTACCAGTTTCACCTCGACTGTTGGATAGTCACTCCACGAACTCCACCAATGTTGCATCGTCGGCAACTGAAGTAAAGCCAACCTCGTTCTCCACTACACGTGTTCACAACATTAATGACTTCACTCTAATACTTCCTAGAAACTAATAAATCTATACTAATATATAAAGGGGATATCATTGTCAATAACTATTTTTGATTTTCATTTGTATATGGACCATTTTATCCTTTGTTTATTTTTTAATAATTATATTTTTATGAGTAACTTTTTATTTTTTTTCTTCTAAAGATAATTATTAAAAAATAAACAAAGGATAAAATAGTCCATATACAAATGAAAACTAAAAATAGTTATTAACAATGATATCCTCTTTATATATTAGTATAGATTTATTAGTTTGAAGTTTTAAAATTTGATTAAAAAAAATTTCTAATTTTTAAAATAAAAGGGTATAATGGTCAAAAAAAGTAGAGATCAAGGTAGTTACCGAAAAGAGTATCCCTTTTATATATTAATACTAGAGAGGCCGAGACACGTCGTGCCTCTAATAATTATACATAGACATAATATTAGAAATTTTAGAAGATATAAGATTTCTTTTTTACATTCAAGGTATAATAGTAATAAGTAATGTAAAATTGTTTATACGATTGTATTATTTATCTACTGGGGACCGAGGCACTTCGTATTAGATAATTCATGCAAAAGAGATATGTTTATACGAATCGAAAGGAACAAAAATAGTTCGTGCATATTTGTTTCTCTATTATTTTCTATCATATATGTTTTCTTGTATTATTTATCTAGTAGGAAAAAGGCACTACGTGTCTGCATTGTATTAAAAGAAAAAATAAAAAAAATGAAAAAAATGAAAAGTTACTCATAAAAAGATAATTATTAAAAAATAAACAAAGGATAAAATGGTCCATATAAAAATGAAAACTAAAAATAGTTATTGACAATGATATCCTTTTTATATATTAGTATAGATTTATTAATTTGAAGTTTTTAAATTTGATTAAAAAAAATTCTAATTTTTTAAAATAAAAGGGTATAATGGTAAAAAAAAGTAGAGACCAAGATAGTTACCGAAAAGAGTATCCCTTTTATATATTAGTATTAGTATAGATATATTAGTATAAATAAAAGAAAAAAATAAATAAATAAGAAAAAAATGAAAAGTTACTCATAAAAAGATAGTTATTAAAAAATAAACAAAGGATAAAATGGTCCATGTAAAAATAAAACAAAAAATAGTTATTAACAATAATATTCCCTTTATATACTAGAGAGGCCGAGGCACTTTCGTCCCTCTAATAATTATACATAGACAAATATTAGAGATTTTAGAAGATATAAGTTTTTTTTTTACATTCAAGGTATAATAGTAATAAGTAATGTAAAATTATTTATACGATTGTATTATTTATCTAGAGGGGGCCGAGACACTTCGTATTGGATAATTCATGCAAAGGGGATATGTTTATACGAATCGAAAGGAACAAAAATAGTTGGTGCATATTTGTTCCTCCATTCTTTTCTATCATATATGTTTTCTTGTAAAATTATTTATACGATTGTATTATTTATCTAGTAGAAAAAAGGCACTACGTATATGCATTGTATTAAAAGAAGAAAAAAAATGAAAAGTTACTCATAAAAAGATAATTATTAAAAAATAAACAAAGGATAAAATGGTCCATATACAAATGAAAACCAAAAATAATTATTGACGATGATATCCCCTTTATATATTAGTATAAATTTATTAGTTTGAAGTTTTTAAATTTGATTAAAAATATTTTTTTCTAATTTTTTAAAATAAAAGAGTATAATGATCAAAAAAAGTACCGAAAAGGGTATCCCCTTTATATATTAGTATAGATAAAAAAAAAAAAAATGAAAAGTTACTCATAAAAAGATAGCTATTGAAAAAATAAACAAAGGATAAAATGGTCATGTAAAAATAAAAACCAAAAATAGTTATTAACAATGATATCCCCTTTATATACTAGAGAGGCCGAGGCACTTTCGTGTCTCTAATAATTATACATAGACAAATATTAGAGATTTTAGAAGAAATAAGATTATTTTTTTTACAGTTAAGGTATAATAGTAATAAGTAATGTAAAATTATTTATACGATTGTATTATTTATCTAGTGGGGGCCGAGGCATTTCGTATTGGATAATTCATTTAAAGGGGATATGTTTATACGAATCGAAAGGAACAAAAATAGTTCGTGCATATTTGTTCCTCCATTCTTTTCTATCATATATGTTTTATTGTAAAATTATTTATACGATTGTATTATTTATCTAGTAGGAAAAAGGCACTACGTGCCTACATTGTATTAAAAGAAAAAATAAAAAAATAAAAAAATAAAAAGTTACTCATAAAAATATAATTATTAAAAAATAAACAAAGGATAAAATGGTCCATATACAAATGAAAATCAAAAATAGTTATTGACAATGATATCCCCTTTATATATTAGTATAGATTTATTAGTTTGAAGTTTATAAATTTGATTAAGAATATTTTTTCTAATTTTTTAAAATAAAAAGGGTATAATGGTCAAAAAAAGTGGAGACCAAGGTAGTTACCGAAAAGGGTATCCTTAAAGGGGATATGTTTATACGAATCGAAAGGAACAAAAATAGTTCGTGCATATTTGTTCGTCCATTCTTTTCTATCATATATGTTTTCTTGTAAAATTATTTATACGTGTATTATTTATCTAGTAGGAAAAAGGCACTACGTGCTTGCATTGTATTAAAAGAAAAAATAAAAAAATGAAAAGTTACTCATAAAAAGATAATTATTAAAAAATAAACAAAGGATAAAATGGTCCATATATAAATGAAAACCAAAAATAGTTATTGACAATGATATTCCCTTTATATATTATTAAAATCCTACGAAATCCTAAACCAATACACCCCCCTTAGCTATTTGTGAGAAATACAAACTCATCCACACCCTCCACGATAATTGTGTGGCAAGCCTTTTGTTACCAATGACCTTGAGGGCAAGGTCAATTCTAAATGGGTCAATATTGTTACACAGTTGGATGGCTCAAATAGAGAGCAAAATACTACAAGACCCAAACATGCATCCCAACATTTAAATATTGTTCCAAATGGTTAAATAATTATATGTAAGAGTGAATGGATCCAATTCAAGTTAGAGCTACTTTATTTTTTTTCCATTCAATAATAGAGAATTTATGCATATAATTAGGGATGAGAACATGTCAGGTCAAGACAGACTTTAAATACATAAGTTGAGCCTATTTTGCAAAATTAAAGCTTAAATCTGGCCTACTATTTATCATAGACTTGTTTTTATAAGTCTGACCTAGCCTATTAGCTTATTTAAATTATTAATGTTAATTAGGTCAATAAACTTAATTTTTAAAAATCAACAAAATTATTTTTAAAATACAATTTATTCAATATTATTAAAATTTAAATTTTAAAGAAAATATAAGAGAAAAATTGAATCATTTTTTTTGTTGAAAGGGCAATTCATGCATAACCATATATCATGCACAGTAAATTTTATTTTTATTTTATAAATTTATTTTTTATTTGTATCTTTATTAATATATATATTAACTTTTTATTATATTATATAAATAAATAGGCTCATTATCAAGTCTAATAAATTTTATTTATAAATTTAAGTTCGACTTTTTTTATACAAATAAGTTTTTTTAAAAATTTAAATTTGTCATTTTATTAAACAGACCATACTTTAAAAAATTAGTTCATAACTCTTCTATTTAATATCTAGTCTATTATTTTTCGTAATACTTTTTTTTATGATGTATTGAAAAACCTAACAATAATGAAGCATCCATGTCATGAAAATATCTAACCCTAATATAATGCTTAGAATACCTTTTTCATTATGTATTAAAAATAATAATAATGGAGCAGACATAGGATGAAAATATCTAAAGTAGTACAGTACTTTTTTTGTGGCTCCTGTTATGGTTCTTTAATTTCAAGGTTCTCCCGTAGAACTAAGTTTTGCACAAGAGATCCAAATGGAACTGAAAGTTGCCCAAAAATAGAAGAGTCGAGCACATGCATCAAAGATAAATTTCCAGAGAGACATTAACACTGTCATTGCAATTGTATTGCTACTTACTCCTATCATCGCAATTAATGGAAGGATTAAAGCAGGCTGCGTATGAAACTACGGTGAAGCTCATGTTGGCTGCACTCGAACGCAAGTTGCTCCCTGACATTGTCACCAGAACACTCACGCGCTTCTTGTTGGCTACTCGCCTTCGCTCTGCTCACAAATCATTCTCTGAACTCCACCTCTCCGATCTCCTCCAATTTGCACATTGTACTCCTCTTTCTTATAACCAACCTTGCTTGTTCCTGCACTCATCGTCTCTTTAATCTCTTTTCTTTTTTCAACCATTTATTATAACCATTGCACAAAATAATATTATGTATCGCTTTTGGTTCTAACGACAAGATTATAGTATCATGTCTTAGCTGAATCAGTTATTAACTTATCCTGGTTTGATGTTAAGTCTTCCAACGTTAAGTTGAAGGGGCTGGTAACATGTGTGTTTATACGTTATTTGAATCTGACCAATATTGACCTTTCCCCTCCTTCTGCGCTGGTGTATGTTTATTTAGTCATTTAATTTTTTTCTGCCTCTCTTTCAGCTTTACAAGATATGCCCATAGCAATCAATACCGAGAAGCCAAAATCTCAACATTATGAATTACCAACTGCTTTCTTTAGGATGGTGCTCGGAAATAATCTCAAATACAGGTAATTTCATAATACCCACTAAATTCTTTGTTGACCTTGACAAATTACGTTTACCTATAGCTTTGTGTTGATTATGAAACATCATCTTCCTCAATTAAAATCCATTTTCTCTTCTTCTGTAAATTGGTAGAGTTCTGTTTAAGGTATGGGATGATGAGAAACAGAAGTGTAAAGATTCATTGTAAACAATTTTTTTTCTGTTGCAAAATGAATATATACGAAGGATGTAATTTGTTGACAAAATAAATTACTGTCAAGTTTGTGTGCATGACAGATAATGGTAAAATATGCAGTTACACACACAATCTTGTGGCTAATATAACATTCCTATATGCATGAACTAAACTTGCAGCTGCTGCTATTTTTCTTCTGCCTCAATGACGCTGGATGATGCTGAAGAAGCAATGTTGAAACTATACTGTGAGAGATCAAACCTCAAAGATGGGCACACAGTACTTGACGTGGGATGCGGTTGGGGATCTCTGGCTTTATACATTGCCAAGAAGTACACTAACTGCAGGGTAACTGGAATCTGCAATTCCACAACTCAAAAGGCTTACATTGAGGAGAAGTGCCGGTATGCTGTTTGATATGTCATTGTTTTCTTAAACATTATGCATGTCATAAGGTTCAAAAATCTTATTGCCTGATGATTAAAATCACTCTCTTCTATTGCTCTTTTGACAGGGATCTTCAGCTGCAAAATTTGGGTATTATTGTTGCTGACATTAGCACTTTTGAAATGGAAGCTTCTTATGACAGAATATTTTCCATTGAAATGTTTGAGGTTAGAATTTGTGAATAAGTAGTTTGTGTTGAAGCCACGTTTTCTTGAATTTTAGAGTCAGTTTTGACCTTGATGCAGCATATGAAGAACTATAAAGAGCTTCTCAAAAAGATATCCAAATGGATGAAAGAGGATAGCCTTTTATTTGTTCATCACTTCTGCCACAAAGCATTTGCCTACCACTTTGAGGTGAACCTAATATAACGCCATTAAAATTAAAACTTAGCCATCTTGGTTTGTTGATCGTTTTGTTTATGATATTAGTCGGCACCTTTACAAGAGTGGTGAGTTTTCAACTTTTCGTAGATACCATTCATTATTTACTTACTGGTTAATTCTTCGTGAAGGACATAAATGATGATGATTGGATTACAAGATACTTCTTTACTGGAGGAACTATGCCTTCAGCAAATCTACTTCTTTATTTCCAAGTAAGTTTGCTGTGCAATTTGTACCCACTTTGTTATTACCTGATGGAATTGAGTAATCCTATCATTTTTTTTTGCTGAGTTTAAACATAAAGGTGAAGGAAAATTCTAAAGGAAAAAATGCATACTTTTTCCTTAAAAAAAAAAAAAAAAAATTGTAACAGAAATACCTGCTATATTTTTGTGTAACAAGTAACAACTTTATGTCACGTCCAGTATTAGCTTACTTGTAAGTTGTAACTGACTTCTTTAGTGATGTGTGCAGGATGATGTTACAGTCATCAACCATTGGTTAGTGAATGGGAAACACTACTCAAAGACAAGGTTAGAATAAACTAAAGTGTTAAATGATTTTACAGCAATCTTGGCACTTTCCAATTTCCATCGATAGTTGATTTGTTTAGAAAGCAAGTTTGAATTGTAATACTGGAGAAAAAAAATGAATTTATGTTGCAGTGAAGAATGGCTCAAAAGAATGGACCATAGAATGACTTTGATCAAGCCAATTATGGAATCAACATATGGCAAGAATTCGGCTATCAAGTGGATTGCATATTGGAGAACGTTCTTCATAGCTGTTGCAGAACTTTTTGGATACAATAACGGTGAAGAGTGGATGGTTGCACATTTTCTTTTCAGAAAGAAATAAAGTAAGCCCAAATTGTAATATGAGGTTGCACACTTCAATAATGTTTCGTATTTTTATCAACTTATTTTAATTCGGCACCTAAGGTCCTTTATATATACTAGCAGGAAAAACGCACTTCGTGCCTGGATTGTATTAAAAAAATGAGAAATTACTCATAAAAAAGTAATTATTAAAAAATAAATAAAGAATAAAATGATTCATGTAAAAATAAAAACTAAAAGTAATTATTGTAAAAATGATTTATTAGTTTCAACTTCTTAAATTTGATTAAAAAATATTTTTTCTAATTTTTTAACATAAAAGGGTATAATGGTCCAAAAAAGTGGAGACCAAGGTAGTTACCAAAAAAAGTATCCCTTTTATATATTAGTATAGATAGATTAGTATAGATTAGTATAGATATATTAGTATAGATAAAAGAAAAAAATAAATAAAAAAGAAAAAAATAAAAAGTTACTCATAAAAAGATAGTTATTAAAAAATAAACAACGGATAAAATGGTCCATGTAAAAATGAAAACCAAAAAATAGTTATTGACAATGATATCCCCTTTATTTACTAGAGGGGTCGAGACACTTTGTGTCTCTAATAATTATACATAGACAAATATTAGAAATTTTAGAAGATATAAGATTTTTTTTACATTCAAGGTATAATAGTAATAAATAATGTAAAATTATTTATACGATTGTATTATTTATCTAGTGGGGCCGAGACACTTCGTATTGGATATTTCATGCAAAGGGGATATGTTTATACGAATCGAAAGGAACAAAAATAGTTCATGCATATTTGTTCCTCCATTCTTTTCTATTAGATATGTTTTCTTGTAAAATTATTTATACGATTGTATTATTTATCTAGTAGAAAAAAGGCACTACCTGCCTGCATTGTATTAAAATAAAAGATAAAAAAAATGAAAAGTTACTCATAAAAAGATAATTATTAAAAAATAAATAAAGGAAAAAATGATCCATATAAAAATGAAAACAAAAAATAGTTATTGACAATGATATCCCCTTTATATATTAGTATAGATTTATTAGTTTGAAGTTTTTAAATTTGATTAAAAATATTTTTTCTAATTTTTTAAAATAAATGGATATAATGGTCAGAAAAAGTGGAGACCAAGGTAGTTTTTGAAAAGGGTATCCCCTTTATATATTAGTATAGATCAGTATAGGTTAGTAGAGATTCATTAGTTTGAAGTTTTTAAATTTGATTAAAAATATTTTTTCTAATTTTTTAAAACAAAATGGTATAATGGTCCAAAAATGTGGAGACCAAGGTAGTTACCGAAAAAGGTATCCCTTATATAGTATAGATAAAAGAAAAAAATAAATAAAAAAGAAAAAAATGAAAAGTTACTCATAAAAAGATAGTTATTAAAAAAATAAACAAAGGATAAAATAGTCCATGTAAAAATAAAAACTAAAAATAGTTATTGACAATGATATCCCTTTTATATATTAATATATATTTATTAGTTTGAAGTTTTTAAATTTGATTAAATTAGTGTGCTTTTTCTATCATGGATGTTTTCTATTATTTTTTTTTTTGTTCCTTTGCATGAAGTTGGCGGTGACATAGTATGGTCGAAATTAAACTATTGTCATTTACTCAACAAATTCAAATTTCATTTCGACATATATACCTACAATTTCACAAATTATAATTTCTAACATATTTAATTGAAGATGATTTATAAAAAAAATACTTCTCAATGATGTAGTTATCACAATCAAAGTATTATTTTTCTTCACCATATTTTAATATATACTAAAATTTCAATAGAAAAAGTAACAAAGAAATTCATTAAAAAAATATTGGAACATTAAAGAAGATGATTTAAAATATATTACAACTTGAATTGAAATGTGATTCATACCGAGATATAGTGTGATTGAGTTTGAAATACAGAGAAAATTGAGAATCGATTGGGATGAAAAAATCGTAGAGGGTGATATTGTAAAAAAATGTACAAAAGAGGGAGAAAAAACTTTTAAGAGTGAAAAGATAAAAATAGATTAAAGCATAGGTATGTTCAACGCTTATTGTTTTTTTTTTAAATAGTTATTGTTTTAAATTAAAAGAGAGTTACAACCAATAAGGATTAAAATAGGATAAAAAAAATGGAGACCAATACCTTTTTGTATCGTTTTGTCTTAATTTTAAGTTATATATAAATTATAGAAGTTATAGATTATAGAATAATCACATGTTTTAAGGGTAAAATAGCGTGGATATCAAAAGGATTAATATATGTATTGTTATAGATTATAAATTATAAATTATGGATTATAGATTGTAAATTATAGATGATAAATTATAGATTATGGATGTTATAGATAGATGCATGTTATAAATACTAAAATACAATATAAATTTCAAAACATTGATAAACAAATAATGTGTATCTACCACCATATAGACAGGGACGTATCTAGGTTGTCCATAGTGGGGCACTTGCCCCCACTTCCATTTGATACATGCATATTTTCTTTATTTAAAAAAAATTATATTTAAAAATAAAAATTATATTTTAATAAAATCAACATACATATTTAAATTATCATATGTATAAAATATAAATTTGAAGGAGATATTCATTTATTAGATGTTTGTCAAAATTTTGAAGGAGTTCTCTTATATAATAAATAATATTCCTTAATAACGAATCAATTTTT